TATTACAATATCCTAATCTTATATTCAAATTAAAAAAGGCATTATATGGACTAAAATAAGCACCCAGGGCATGGTATGTTATGCTAAGCATATTCCAACTAGAAAGAACCTTTGTTAAGAGGAGCGTAGACAACACCCTATTTCTGAAAAAGGTAGGAGATGAACTACTCTTTATTCAAATTTATGTTAATGATATTTTGTTTTGATCTTCTTATAAAAATCTATGTGATGAGTTTTCAAAAATAATAAGTAAGGAATTTGAGATGAGTATTATGGGAGAACTAACCTACTTTCTTGCATTTAACATAAGGCAGAAAGATGATGGAACTTTTCTTAGTCAATTGAAATATATTAAGGAAATCCTTGAGAAATATGAAATGAATAAAGCCAAGCCAGTCAACACTCCAATGAGTTCCATTGTTCAATTAGATAAAGATTAAATAGAAAATTTTTTGATAGAAAAAAATACAAAGGAATAATTGGATCACTTCTTTACTTGACTACTATTAAACCCTATATTATATTTAATATTTATCTCTGTGCTAGATTTCAGGTTGTTCTAAAAGAGTCCATGTTTAATGCTATTAAAATAATTCTTAGGTATATCTTAGGAACGCCATACTTAGGAATATGGTATCCCAAGCATAACATCTCCTTTGAAATCATAGGATATTTTGATTTAGATTTTGTGGGATGCTGAATTGATAGAAAAAGTACTTCTGGAACATGTCAATTCATAGGATTTCCATAACCTGACTTAATATAATATGATACCACATATGTCATAATGTGTTATATTCTAGTAAGGCCGACCCCAAGATATATATGGAGATGTAGAAAAATAAAACTTCTAATTTATATACTACACAATTAGAATGTTATATAAAGAGGAAGGGTACTAAATCACAAAAATAATTTTTATATGTAATCCAAAAATACATATACAATTTAAGTATCTACAACAATGCTTAGAAATAAAAAATATAATCAAATAAAAGTTGACCATGCAAAATAAAGCTAAAAAAACAAAGAGGCATAGGTACCGCAGAGATCGAAGCCTAATATTAAAAAAAACTACTTAGTTCACTCATTATCCTTAGAAGCATCACAACTCTAAGGCTTATATAATCCTGAAGCTCAACTCAAGAACCACAACCACCAAACCCCATTATATGACATCCACCATCGATCCTCTGACTGACCGCCACCATCACACCTTCATAGTTGATGACTAAAAACCTTTAACCACCATCACCCCACTCTAGTTCTCAAACTAACGTCACCTGCTAACTACACTCCTCAGATGACCATCATTTGATAATGGTCCTTGACATCTCCCAACTATGATTCTTCTGACCTACATTTCCATCTAACTATGGTCCTTCAACTTTTGCCACCCAACTATGGTCATCCAATCTATATCACTTGACTACAGTCCTCCAATTTTCACCACCCATCAATAAGGGTCCTTAGATCATCATTGTTTAACTATGGTCCTCTGATATTGTCACTTAATGATGGACCTTCAAACCTTTATCACTAGTCGACTATGGCCCTTAAACTAGCACCACCCACCTATTATAGTCCTCAAAACACTATTTCCCACCAACCAAAATTTTAGGGCACCATTTTCTTACTATAGTCCTCCAACCACCACACTTCACTATAATTCTTTTGACCTTTATCATCCATAAATATTGATCCTCAGACCATCATCGCCTGACCACAAACCTCGAACCACCATTGCCCAACAATAATCCATTCAACCTCCATTACCCTCCAACCATGTACCTTAGATCCCATTTTCCCAACTATGATCGTCAAACTATTGTCGTCTAGCTGTTGCTCATAAACCATTATCTCCCTACTATGGTCCTTTGACCATCATCACTCAACTACTAATCTGATCAACTATAATCCTTAGCTTACCATTATGCGACCATGGTCCTCGAATCACAGTTACGTAACTATGGTCTGCGGATATCATTACATGATTGTGGTCCTTCTAATTATTACTTCCCAATTATGGCCCTTCCTATATTTGTTGTATGCTAGCTATGGTCCTCCAACCACCATCACCTAGCTATGGTCATTCCAACTTGCATCGCTCATCAACTATGATGCTCTGAACTCCGTCAACTATGAATTACATTCCTTTGACCTATAATATTTTGGATATTATCACTTGGCTGTTGATTCCGTATAGGTTGTTAAACTACGCAATTGGTCCACGGTAACCAAGAGGGGGGGAGGGGGGGAGGTGATGGGTAATTTAAAAATTCTCTTGATTTTTTTTAAAAAGAAAATTGATTTAATAATTTTCCAAATTTGATTATTTGTTTGAAATAAACTTTTCAACCATAAATTTTAAACGCTGAAAATAAAAATGCAGAAATAAAAAAAACACAAGGATTTATAGTGGTGTAGTCTAATAAGATGTACATTAACTCCTTGAAGACCCCCTCATCAGATTTTGCACTATTACCAAAAGTGACTCAGCCTTTAAATTTCTTCTCTTCAACCTATCCCCGATGCGGCAGAGTACCGTCATCCTTTTACACCCTCTAAGTGTCGGCAAAGTACCATCATCCTTTCACACCCTCTAAGTGTCGCCATAGTAGCATCGATTGTTCACACTCTCTAAGTGTCGGCAGAGTACCGTTGTCTGTTCATACTCTCCAAGTGTAGGCAGAGTTTCGTCGTATGTTCACACTCTCCAAGTGTCGATAGAGTACCATCTTTTTTTTACACTATCCAAGTGTCAGCAGAGTACTAGAACTTCTTCAAAGATCTTTTCTTGAGCAACTGGAAAGAAGAAAGGAAGAGTAATAACCAAAAATAAAAAGACATTCTTACCTTTGAGTAACCTTGTGAACTCTTCACACTCCACTTGCAAGAACTCTATCTCAAACACCCTCCCACAATTACTCTTTCACTTACTCTTGAAAAATCACGAAGAACAACTCTTTACATGTCAGTTTCTAAGAACCTTTTATATAAAGGACACAAAAAACTATCCAAACAATTGAAAATTTTCATTTAAAGCGTGTACGATTATACAGTACGATCGTATTTTTGCACATACAAATAGTTCAAAAACTATTGCATACAAACCTATTTGAATATGTACGAAATATTTTCATACACGATAATCGTCTAGTACGAACCCAGTTCATACTGTACGAACGGTTAAAAAAATTTTCAAGTTTGTCGGGATGAAAAAGCACCTCACATTTTCGTACTCTGGATGTCATATGTACGAACAAGACATCATATAGTATGAACTGTTAAAATTTTTTTTGCATTCATCAGGAAAAAAATATTGCCGTCTAATTTGTACTCTAGACGTCGTCTATACGAACAACATATCATATAGTACGATCAGTTCATAAAACTCAGGGATTCGTCAGGACAAAAAGGGACCCCTCCAATTCGTTCTTCGGAAGTTGTCTGTACGAACAACATATCATACAGTATGATCAGTTCAAAAAACTCTAGAATTTGTTAGAATGAAAAGGGACCCGTCCAATTCACACTCTAGATGTCATCTGTAGGAACAACATATCGTACAGTACGATCAATTCAGGAAAAAGTTTAAATTCGTCGGGACAAAAAGGGACCCGTTCTTTTCATACTCTAGAAGTCATCTGTACAATGAACACTTCATACAGTATGATTAGTACTTAAAAATATTTCTTATATCATTTTTTTAAGTGCTCGCGGAAGTAAATAACTGAATAAATCATCCTATACAAAATGACTTCGTACATTACAATCAGTTTAAAAAATTATAATTTTAAACACTCCCACAGTGTGTGTGTGCACAGTTACTCAATTACAATCACACTCTTTCAGACTCAATAAAATGAAAGATACCGACTCCATTTACAATGAACCCTACTCTAATCTGATTTGAAGTCTTCAACAATCTGGAGTATGATTTCACTGAAATGTTAGTACACACAAACAACAAAGCAATACATCCAAAATATGTTAGGAGAAACTGTAATTGAAACAATAATATTTGGAATCATAAAAAATATATATGTTGTAAGAATCTCAAAAATCGAAAAACCAAGTTGAAGCAATCTATCTCAACACTGGCTACTCCAACACCTACTAGCTTCATCATTGGGCATCGCTAATAATGCCAATACACACCATGGTTTATAAGATCAATGCATGTTGCCAACAACAACCCTAACTCCAAATTCCAGCACTTGGGTTTATGATGGATTCTTGCCGAAGTGCTCTTCCAACTGCAACCACATAATATGTTCTCTGCTTTATATGAATTCCTTTCCCCAAGGAAGCACTTCACTTGATCGAATACTTTACTAGTGGAATCATTTTAACTAGCCTAGGTGCCATGGTTTTTCTCTATTCAGATTTTTTCATGTAAAAAATCATGTAGCTCTTACTATTCTTTTAATCATCCTCTCTTGTTTGTGTTTGGTAGATTTTTGTAAAATGATGGGATGCTAAAATTGATATCTCTCTACTGCCTTGAATGTTCTAGGATACAACACTAATACAAAGCCTAAATCTAGCCCCAAATAAGTGGAAACCGAATGACAATGGATTAACTTGGCCTACTCAAATAAAACCTATCGTATTAGTAGTGGGAGATTCATACACCCAAAAAATAAAAACCAATTAGCGAAGGAGATTCATACACCCAACAAGCCAATTACCAAAGGGCTGCTATTTAGTGCGAACTTGAAATATTATTTCACTTTCACTGTGAATCACCACGTGCGCAGGGAACTACAGAAGTTGAGGCCAATTAATTAGGCCACAAACTTTTTGAAACACTGCTAAATCATCATAAAATTGTACTACGTTATAAAAAATACATATATATCAATCCAAAAATAAAAGAGGAAATTAAAAACGTGAGAACCGTTCAAACATGCTCCTCACCTAATCCCTCGGATGTCCGTTGGTGATCTATACCTTCACAGCCACATAAAAATCGATCCATCAACAATATCTAAGAAAAAACTGCATCTATAATCAAAACAATTGAACAATAATAACCATTCCCATTCTTTTTTATCTCTATTATCTGCATTTGTTAGATAGAAATAGACCACCCATCATCCTCTCACATTCTTTCTCTCATCAATCTCAAGCAACAAAGGCGCGTATAAACTTGCAACAAGGAAGCAATCGAAATAACCATGGCTTATCGTATACGAAACCATGAGAAGTCAACTTACAGGGCTGTTGCTTCGTTTCCTTCAGTCGAGTCATTGCTAGGCAGGCTGAATCACATCGACGTTAGAGTAAGAAAAGTCTTCCCTCGAATTATTCATTGTGCATTAATTCACTTGCATTAGTGCTCTTTCCCGGTTTAATTTTTCTGTGCAAGAAGTTATTCACAGATTTTAGCAAAATAATTTGTCTCCATTTGTTTTTTAGCCTTTATACTAAAACTTATTTATCCAATTAATAGATGCATTTTGTGTTCATTATTAAATAAACCTACATATTATTTTGAGCCTGAAATAACTTGGTTTAAGTTATTGGTTAAAAAAATGACCCATTATGTGTTCGCTAAGAAATGGCTTCACAATGTTGTATGCCATTATGCCTGAAATGATTTCATCTTGGCTTCGGTAATATTAGAAGTGATACATCATCAAATGAGCATCATTAGCTTCGAATCTCAATGAACAGTTAAATTGGGAGCCTATAGAAAAAATTCAAGACTATCCTAACTCCAATTTCAGTAAATTTATAATCGGACAGGATATCTCACTGAGAAAAACCCAATAATTCAAAAGTGATTTAATTCAAGTCTGAATTAGCCTAGATCAAGCACAAAATGAATAATTAAAAGATTAAGGACACTAATTTACTAAATGATCTCCTAATTTCATATGCCTATAGTCGAATCAAGCTTCTCGATAATCCAAATCCCACAAGTTAATGATCACTAATTTCAACATCATTTAGGCACTTAAATATTAAACATACGCTCTACAATCAAATGGATTAATACAGGTCATTCAAAGAAGTGTTCCAATTTTTTTTTAATATTTTTGAGGTATGTCACTCTCAAAAATCTATAAATATGCTTACTAAAGAAATGAGAAAAGAGTTGGAGCTTGAATTTAGACTTTAGATTCAAGAGAATTTGATATCTTTAAGACTCTCAAAGCTCCACCTAAGCATCATCATCAGACCAATACCCAACCTTTGCCACCAGAACACCACCTAATCATCATCGTTAGAATATTTTCCAATAGCCACCATTAGAACACCCCCAACAATCATCATTAAAACATTTATTGTATAACATTGTTTAACTTTTGTCCAATATCTCCCAACAAAATTCATTGACCATCATCACCTAATCACAATCCTCTTACCCCGTTGGCTGACTACAGTCCTTCGACCCCTGTTGCATGTTTGTGTTCCTTTGATAAATCTCTTGTGATTTGTATCCTATAAACACCCTCTCCGTACTATGACCATTAGAACTCTATCGTATAACTATGGGCCTTCGACCACTGACGCCTAACTATGATACTTCGACCTTCGTCACCTACTATGCCCTCTGACTTGCTTCACCCAACTACATATGATCCCTTGACTGCCTTCGCACACCTCCATCGATCAACTATAATCCTCCAACCACAATCGGCCATCTTTCTCATATTCATCTCCAACATTCATCGTCCTACTACGCTCCTTCAACTATAATCACCAGACCATAGTCCTTTAACAATCATTGTCAAACTACGATCCTCCGGCCATCATCTCCTGAATCCGATCCTCCGACCATCATCTTCTGAATCCGATTTTCCGAGCTTAATCACTCAACTATGATCCTCCTATTGCGCAACTAGGCTCCTCCGACCTCCATCACTCAACAATGATCCTTCTATCACTCAATTGCACTCCTCCAGCTATTATAGCCAATTATGATTTTCTAACCAGCGTCGTCAAACTTTAGTTCTCCAATTGTTGCGGCTCTACTTAGATTCAAGAACTATTATCACTGGACATAATGTGTTTTATATATTATATGGGTACTACATTAAATCAATGGCATCCCCCAAGAGAAGGCAACATTGATAATTGAAGACTAGTTAAATCATTTTAAATAGGCAAGATCCCCTGTTTTTTCCTGGGTTTTTCACATAAAATCTTGTTTTTTTAATAATTCCTCCACTATGCTTTATTTGCATGTATTTGTCATCATATAAAAGCTAAGTTCATAAATGTTTTCCTAAAATTAATATTAATGAAATACTTCCAATACGTTTATATTTTTTTTCCTTTTTTGAGAGTTGGCTACTTGGCTTCCATCAGCCTCCAACTCATGAATCTGGCTAAACTCACCTCAAACACAGCCCTTATAGCGTGAGTTTAATTGGCAATCACATTTGTAAAACAACAAATATTATAATGTGATTGCTCAGCATGGGATTCCATCGTCTGTTTTGGATGGAAAAGGCAAGGCTAAGATGGACTCGTCGGTTCTTGATCTTCATGATCACACCATTCCGCCAATTGTTAATCCTATCTCTAATGGTTTAAACTTTGGATCTCTGAAACATGATGCGATGCATCCCCTGATTCCTCTTGAATCTGTTGCTAAATGCACTTCAAAAATAACTAATACTGTTACATTGGATCCTAATATACCTGAGATTCATGGCGCGGTCATAGACAACCCTAAGAATTCTTTTATCAATGCTTGGAGGAAACCCAACCATATCAAGCTAAATGTTGATTTAAATTCAATCGAATTGTCCTCTAATGGAATTGCGGTAAAGATGAATTCTGAAAAGGAGATTGCCAATTCCAAGATCCTTTATAATTCAGTTGTTTTGAAGGTCCTGGGTAAGAATGTCCCGTTCTCTATCAGCAGCATTGCGATCCGTAAGCAATGGAACAGGTTCGGAAACTTTCATATGACCTCTTTAGGTCTTAACTGGATCCTCTGCTCTTTCAAGACTAGTGAAGCCATAGAGGAAGTCTTAAGCGGTGGACTGTGGTACATTGGTGATCACATTGTTGGCTTGGACAAATGGTCACCATCCTTTTCTTCTTCATCGGTCAGAGGATTAACTGTTGTTTGGGTCCGCCTCCCCTTCTTGCTGCTGAATTGCTGGGATGAAGTCAATATTGCCAGAATAGCCTCTCGAATTGGTACCCCGATGTTCTTAGATGGGAATTCTCTTAATTGGAGCAAGAAGGAATATGCTTGCATCTGTGTTCACGTTAATCTTGAATCTAAACTCCCATCTGGAGTGTGGGTGGATGGCTTGGGAGGTCGTTTCTTTCAAAAGGTTGAATACGAAAAGCTATCTTCGCTTTGTTTTCATTGTGCCAGGATTGGTTATCTTGAGACTAATTGTCCGGAAGTCGTATTCAAAGATGCAACTCAAAATGTCCTGGTTAATTCTGCTCACCAAGATAAACCTACTCATAACACACATGAGAATTACGGGCCATGGATTCATGTCAATTTTAAAAAAAAAGAGACCATCCCAGATGGGAAATCGTATGTACAAGGCCAAGGCTTCTACTCATAAATTAAAGCCTCCTGATACTCTCAATAACATCACTGATAAGATTAATATTGAGAAGAATTTGTTTATTAATGAGAAGAAGCTGATTACTAGAAGTGGAGATTCTTCATTAAACAATAATTCTAAAATGGATAACCATTTATCCAATAGTTTCAATGTTCTGGTTGAGGAAGAATTGAATCAGTTGGACAAATCTGCCTCAGATTTTCGAGAACCTTTAAAAACCAACCTTTCACCTGATCCCACTGACCACATGGCAGATATTGATGTTATTGATGATTCCAATATGCATCATTTGAATCAAATCCATAACAGTGAAAGAGATAACAATATGACTGATGTTACTTCAGATGCTAATGAAAACTCTATTGAATACACTATTATTCAAGTTCCGATTGATGGTGTTGAAAGGCCTCTGACTGTTTCCCCCATTCCCATTGGAAATTCTTTGATTAATGTGACTACTGATCCTAAAACCAACAAGGGCAACTCTTTAAATTCTGATTTGAAGCTTAGAGGTTCAGATAATTCTACAATCTATTTTGATGATCAGAGTGAAAACAAAGGTGATCCGGATGAGATTAAATCCAGCAAGATGAAATCAAAACCCCAACTGAAATTCCTAGGACCAATTGAACCTTTGACAAGGAAAAGGAAGGTTGAAGGAAAAAGTAAGAAGAAAGGCGGGGACTTTTCCCCTTCCATTAATTGATGTCTTCCATTATTTTTTGGAACTGTAGAGGGATTAAGAAAAGGAGGCATTCGTCTACCTCAAAGAGATTGTGAAAGATAATGATGTTTTCTTAATTGGTCTTGCTGAAACCAAGCTCTCTTCTATTGATAGGATGTTTGTTAACAGGCTTATTGGTATTGACTGGGATTTCTTCCATCAACCAGGCGTTGGTATTGCCGGAGGTATTTTAGTTCTATGGAAGACTAGTCTGGTATCCTTTTCTATCAAGGGTCACTCTTCACAATTTATTTTTGGTGCTTTGAATACTCCCTTGGGAAAGATTTGGGATGTAGCCATGATTTATGGACATCAGGAATCTCAGAAGCGCAGAGAGCTTTGGTGCAACCTGGAGCAGCTACTCACGGATGAGACACCAACTATTATTGGTGGCGATTTTAATTGCCTTAATTCGAATGATGATAAAAGGGGCGGAAAGTGATTTAGTATGACTAATGGTTCCAAGGAGATGAAATTATTCATGAGCAACCATGATCTTCATTATTTGAACACGGTTGGTCCAAGATTTACTTGGTGCAACAATAAGCAAGGCAATGCCAGAATCTGGGAGCGTCTGGATCGCTGCCTCCTGAATTCTGCAGGTCTCCAACTGATTCCAACTGCCACTGTTAGACATTTAGCAAGTATTTCCTCTGATCATTGTCCCATTGCTTTTAAATTTGACTATACAAAGTATGCCAAAGTAACTTCCATTAGATTTGAAGACACTTGGAAGTCTTATCCTGCTACCAGAAAAATTGTCTCTACAGCTTGGAACAAGAACAATTTCGGTTCAGATTTTGAAATCCTTAATAGAAAAATCAAGAGAACTCTGAGATCTCTATTCTTCTGGAACAGAAATAAATGTAAAAATTTAAACCTTCTTAAAGAAGAGCTCAAGAGTGATATCCTAAATCTA